ATATATATATATATATAGAGAGAGAGAGAGAGAGAGAGAGAGAGATATTGTTGATAAATTAATTTTAAAAATATTATTAGTATATAATATATTATAACATTATTTTTTTAATAATATTTTTAAATTGTATTATTGTTAATCTATTTAAGTTATATATTGTAATTTTCATTCATGTATTAAAAACATATATCTATTATTGCTAAATAAATTAATATTAAAAAGTATTATTATTATTATTATATATTAATAATATTAATTTATTGTTAATATTGATAATATATATAAGATTAAATAAAAATATATGATATAAATATAAATTTTAGTGATTAAAACATAAAAATTAGATTATATTTTTAATTAGTATTCTTCTAATATTTTATTTTTATTTTTTATATTAAATAGTTATATAGACTACTAATTTATCTATTAATATATTAATTATATTGACATTAATTTATCAATGATATTATTAATAGTAATAATATATAATTTTTTATTTAGTGGTAGTAAATAAAATTGTTAATGTAAAAATATATTTTTATTTTATAGTTATTAGTTTATCTATAAATATACTATTAATAATATCATAAATACTAATAATATATAAAATATAACATGACATAATGCATGTTTTTTTATTTAATTGTAGTAATAAATATATGTACAGTTTTGATTCCCAATTAAGGTATATATTATCACTTTCAATTCTGTAAGAAATTCAATAATTTAATGGTTAAATGTTGAAGTTAAGGATGTAGTGGTTCAAATTTCACATAACACTTTGTCATTTTTTTTCCTTTTATTTTTCACATACTACATCATTACATTACGTCAACCACGTCAACTACACACGGACATCTATATGTTTTGTCATGACATTATGTTAACATCATCCATTAGCACCACAATACCTATTACTTCATTCGTCAATGCGACGTCATTAAAATTTACTAAATTTACAATAGAAAATTAACAAAAGAATCAAAACTGTACAATTGAAATACATAAATTAATTTTCTCTATTAAAATTCATGAGATCAAAATTATATAATTAAAATACTTGAAAAACCAAAATTACATTTAAATCTTTATATTTTATAACATACACAAATTTTGTAGACTCGGTTTTCACATACTAACTTCACTTTATAGAAAATAATTAAATTATTACAAAAACATTTATATATATTAATAATTAAATAACTTATAAAACAACAACCCGTGCATTAGCACGGGTAAAATGCCACACTAGTTATACATAAAACTTAACAAATAGTTAAAAAAAATAGTGCAAATATTTCACTTTTCACATATACTAACTTCACATTATGGAGACTAATTAAATCATTATAAAGTATATATATATATATATATAATAATAATAATAATAATAATAATAATAATAATAATTAAATAACTTATAAAACAACCCGTGCATTAGCACAGGTACCATGCCATACTAGTTATAAATAAAAATTAACAAAATTTAAGAAACGTTCATCAAAGCTTATTACACTATTACATATTATTAATACCAAAGATTTAAGAAACTTACCGATGCATCTTGCGGGCACCGTTACTAACTTTCCTAAAAGGAGCGGACACATACGTAAATTTCATTTTGGACTTTTGGTATATCAAAGGTTAAAGGTTTCGTAGACATCCACAAATATAGTATATCACCAACGAGTATAGCAATGACACCACATTCAGGTACAACGTATTGCATGCTGCAATGCCACTCAACCAAGGTAAGCACTAAGGTGGGGCCCAGCCAGGTCATTAGGTAATGTTATGGGTACCCGCAAATAATTGCACGCGTGACTACACCGACACCACAACAAACACAACCAACCCAACACAATTTTGAAGGCACACAAGAAGATTAATGCCACTGGCAATGCAATGCAATGCAACGCATGTTAAAAACATGGTAAAACTCAAGAACGAACCATGATGACATTAAGTAATTAGAACATTGACAACATTACTCAACAAACTAGCATGCCACAGTACATGCTGGAGATGCTAGAACATCACCTCCTACAGCTACATTATGGACATTGGCAGCAGCTTCCAGACGTTCCCATGTAATTCGTCGCCGTTCGGCGGCGGCGCTTGACCTTGAACCTTCCTCCTCCAACTTACGTTGGCAGGCAAGCACCAGATCCTCGTCCATCTGAGACAGCATCTTCCTCATGTTCTCAGTCTGATTGAGCACTGTTCGATTCCAGTGGTTTTGGGTGTTATGTACAAGTGCTGAGAACACAAGAGGCAGAATCACCTGCCGGTTTTGGTTGACAACATCAAGGATGTACTCGTTGTTCCATAGCAAATGAGCTCGCTCAGCCACCTGAACAAAGATATGAATTTAAGTAGATTAATATTTTTTTATGTGAAATGTTAATGACACTCATTTAAACACCTTTAATATTAGTTAAAATTTACTGAAAAGCATAAAATCATGCATGAGAGCTCATTAAACAAAGAGAAGAAGTGTGTTGGAGAGTATTACTAGCACTCCTCTTCTTCACAAACATCACCAACGAAACCATGCAACAATTTAGTCTCTTGTACATAACTCTCCCATTGGGTTGGCACATTTTAGGAGTAAAGTGAAATGTTAGGAATCCCACATTGAATCATTGAATAGAATATGAAGTTCAATGTGGTACTTAAGTCTTAAAGTTCTCCCATCTAATGGACTAGTCTTTTAAGTTGTGCTCTCATCATATGCTTAAGTCTTAACAATTGGTACTTTCATTGAGCAAGCGAACAACACCATAATGTTGTATTGTACATCATGTTTATATCACCATTGATTTATAAATCCTTTTTAATATAGTTTGCTTCCACATGTTTCCTCCCCACATGTCCAAATCATTAAGGCGAGATTCTTTCTACAATAGGAGCTATTTCAATTTTATATTTAATGCATTCATTCCTAATCTTTTCTTGTCTTGATATGCGCCCAAATCCAACACAACATTCTCATCCCAGCCCCAAAACCATGTAACTAGAAATTTCATGGCATGATACCAAGGCTATACCAATGTCTATATCCAAGTTTATTAAAAAAAACCAATTAATCTCTTAAGAGCCGGAGTAAAGAATTGAAAGCATAATGGTACTGAAAAGCAGAAAGGAAGGATTTGCTACTCAACATCCAATTCCTTAATAATTACAAGTTCTCTGAATCAGGCGGAAGAAACATGCTGTTGAAGTAGTATAAAATTTAGAATAAGACATAAAAGTTTACTCTTACATTACAGTTACATATAAAAATGCAGATAAAAGAGCAGAGTAGGCAAAATTACCTGGTAATGATAGCTATTAAGACAGCAAGCTATGCGTCGAAACAATGGGACCATAATCTTCTGAAATTCAACCATGATTGTCACTTCCAAAACCTCTTCCAACTCACTTATGAACATTAGCTCCTTTTGGCTATTTGTTACTGGCCAGTACTTCAATAGTCCCATTATTACAGTGCTAGCCAGGGTTGGATCCTTATCTATGAACTGTACAACACAATATGTTAACTGCTGATGATAAATACCAACAGATTTAGGTTTGTGTAAAGGTAGTAAAGCCCTACACAAAAACATTTTGTGCTCCTCCTTCAATGGCAAGGCAAACCCACAAATCACACTCCCAAAAATCTCCAACAGCTCAGCAATTCCATTATGACGTTCAGTCTCAAAAATAAAACGGTAGATGATATTGCTGACAGATTTCCGTATGAAAGGCCTGTGTACCATGAATTTTCCATAGATTCTATGCAGAATTGCCTTCAAGCAATCTCTTTCTCTAGGATCCTCAGAGTCAAAAAGGTCTAGCAATCTTGCAATAAACGAGTGATCAATATGCATTTTTGCCACCTTTAGATCAAGAGAATTACAATTTATGAATTGAAGGAGAAGATCATAAACAATGTGGAGGTTAGACCAGGAAGGATCAAACATAAGCTCTTCATCTTCTGTTTCCCCACAAGTAGCACTAGTGCGAAACTTAGGAGGAAAAACCCTGAACAAGTTACTTGCACACATTTTACACATTGCAGCTATTGCTGGTTCTGTGAACTTTGCAGATCCAGAAGAAACAAAATCAACAAGCTCTACCAATGTTTGATGTTTAACATCTTGCTCTGTGCAGTTCTTATCAGGATGACTAGGATCATAAACTCTGCAGCAAAGATTCAACTTACTGATGAACAGGTTTTGTTTCTGATTATTTGAAACATCTTTGAAAGATATATGGGGGTCAACTGCTTCCACTCCAGCATTCAAGCTTGCCGGAAATACCACTGAAGATACCCGCTTCACAGCATTTAATTTGCTTGAAATGGCAACACCAACAGTTGTACATTGAAAGACATTTGCAAAAGTAGTAGGACTCCCAGAATCACTCTGTACTGAATCTGATGTGTCCGATTTTGGCACCTTCTTAGGCAATTTGCTAAGAATTTGCTTCAACATGGTACCTAGCAAAGAGAACACCAGCACGAATTTTTCACTCTCAGCTAAAATCCTAGGAAGTCTTTTTGTTCATCTCCAAATGAACCAGAAAATCATCCCAAAAATTGTGCAATCATTTAACAACAAAGCAAAAACTGGAAAGTAAAGCCTGTGTATGAGACTTACAGAGAGTGCAACAAAGACCGATTTAGAGATTAAACCCAAGCACAAAAGCATAAAACCCAATGAAAGAAAATGAACAAATCCTGTGCTACAAAGAATACTAAAACACAACCACCGCAAGTGTGCTATCTACTATGCCTCAGAAGTTTACTGCGAGCCTATTTGGATACAAGCTAGAAATGCTTTTGGAAGCTTATTTATTGAAGATAAAGAATATTTTTAGTTGAGAAACTCAAGTGTTTTTGGGAGCTTATCTATCAGAGATAAAGAGTATTTTCTAGTAGAGAAGCTTTCAAAAGTGCTCATTTCCACGCATGACCATAATAAAAAATGGATTGCAACAAATATAACCAATGATTTAAATCAAAGTCACAGTTGCAGTGACAGTTTTGTCACAATCCTTGATATGCTAGAAATTGTGCAACACGTGCTGCCGGAGCAGCTCCAATTGTGGTCGCGGAACATTTTAAAACGTTGAATACCCAAAAACAGAGACACAAAAACCAATAGAGAAGCACAACTCTTGGCACAAGGTATGCGTGTGTTAGTGCAATTAAGGACAGTCATAACAACAACAATAATTCATAGAATGCACTCAGGATATTTTGAAAACTATAAACAGCAACAAATTCTAACCAGATCTAGGAGATATTGCAAAATTCAGTACATTAGGATGAGCTTCATTATTTTCAAAGCCAGAAGAAGTTCATCTGGAAGAGTGTTTTGGAATAAAATAAAACGAAACCAACCCTTTTCGAGCAAGGAATTAACGAACCGTCAATAAATACAAAAACTCAAAAACTTCGCAGCTGAAGCAAGAGTGGTTGTAGAAACCAAGATCGAAACAAACACTAAAGCATTGCATAATCCTGGTACCCTATACGATAATTACCGGACAATTTTCTTTTTAAAAAACGAAAGTCACCCTCAAACACGAAACAACATAGAAATCAGCATATTTACGAATTTAAAAATAAATAAATAAACGCAGTAATTTAGATAGAAGCAGAAAGTACCAACCTGATTTGTTTGAAAAAAATGCTTGGACAAAGAGAGGGAGAACTAGTCAATGAAGTATGAAAGTTCCATAGATTGAACAAGGAGCCTAAGAGAGAGAGAGAGAGAGAGAGCGTGTTTTTTGGTTTGGTGGTGAAGAAAAAAAAAAGAAAGAAAAGAGTTTGACGTGGAAAATGTGAGATTTGTTTTTGGTTTAGTTGGAGAATAGAGGGAGGGAGACCCTATCAGTTCCTCGATTGAAGAGAACAAGCGATGCGACATGTTATTTAGAATTGTAGTCTTAGGTACATCACTCCGGTCACCGTTGAATCCAACTCCCATACATAATAGTAATATATATTATTTTTAAAAATTTTGTGGTATCTATAACATTTATGCTAATAATAAAGAAAATTATCTTATTTTGAGTTCTCATCTATTTATAATATTAAAATTATTTGTATTACATCGATATGTCAATTTAAAATATCTTTAAAACGTTATCATAGTAATAAAAATATTTATGTATCATTCTATATTATTTCTCTTATTTTAATATATCTTCATATCTACAAATTATTTATATGTCATTTTAGAATGTCTCTTATTTTAATATATATCTCTATAACAAAAAATTGTATATCTTCATATTTACAAATCCTAAATATTTAGATTAAGGAGTTCTATAGTCATAGTTCTTCTCTGTTTATGACGACTCGCCCCTTTTACTATTTCATAGTCATCATTCTTTATTGAAGCGAAAACAAATGGTTGTACTTCCATCACATACACACAATAATTGCATCCAATTCAACCTTCCTTTACAGAAAATCATGATGGTCACTTCTTCATCATGTACGTGAAATAGTTGCACCTCCATTTCAGATTGTTATAAAAAGAGGTAGGTGTAATTTCTTCTAATACATATTCTTTTACTTAAGATAAAAAAATTTAATAATATAGCAAATTGAAATTTAATCAATTTTTTTACTCAATTTACTAAACTGAATCTCTTTATTGGATTACTCATAAATTTAGATATTATGTCTTTCAAATTGTTCCTCCCAATCACTTTAGTATATTAAATTCTTATCTCAATTTTAACGTTAACAACACTCGATGATGACTCTCCAATATGGAATGACACTGAAATTGGAGTTGTAGTCTTCTTGGGTAAGATTAATTTAAATAAGTGATATTTTTTGTTTTGATTTCATTCTATTTTGTGTTGGATTTTTATTTAGTCACAAAATTTCTAATTCAACATTTTGTTTTGCAGTTAAACTTTCATGTGGTAGATCACCAAGTTCAAATTCACAATTTCTGACATTCACTTTTGCCAGTTTTTATTTGTTTATAATTTTTTTTATTACCTTGTCATTTTACATATTCTCTAAGAATTCCAACTATTTTTTTCATTTTTAAATATAAAATCACACTTTATTGAAATTAATTACAAAACTTGATAGTTATATGTTTTAATTGATATTAAATTCATAATTGTGACACCCTTACTACCCCAACACATAAAGCGTAATAATGTAATTAAATTAAGGAAATACATTTTTCAACACTGGTAAAAAGGATTACATAAAAACCTTCACAAATGTTCTTTAATATCCAAAATGATTAAAAAGGTAACATTGGAAAATAAAATGTAAGAGTTTACAAATTGTTTTTAAAGTAATAAGTACAACTCCAAATCCATATAAAAATTCATGTCCTAGAAATCCTCTGCCCTTATGTCACAATATCAGAGCATACCCACAATTCAATCGTTAGCATTCTAGATGCCACTCATAGCCGGATCTTCTTCACCTAAAACATCCATAATTGCACGGTCAAAAAAGATAACATCTATATGTAAAGCACACAAGGAAAAACACAACATAATCTCATCAATTATTGAAGTCTTTACAAGCATATCCATACATTCTAATTCTATCAATCATGCATCATATTCACATCACGATTTCACAATCACACCAGTCTATCACAAATCTTGCAATTAACACTATGCCAATGGTCACGCCACCTCAAGGTCGTGCCACTCTAGACATAAGTGATACGTATTAATTGTCTCACTCATCCCACACCATGCCAGGGGTACGCTCGTCCTTGTAGCATCACTTACTCAAGATTCGTCTCATCCCTGGTCATATGTGTGAGGAACCACAATCACATCACAATCACAATCATCACAAATCTTACTATGTCAAGGTCACGCTACCCTTCAGCCTAGGGTCGTGCTCACCCCTGACATCACACTGTGTCAAGGTCATGCTACCCTTTTAGTAGCCTAGGGCCGTGCTCACCCCTGACATAACATTGTGCCAAGGTCACGCTATCCTTTTAACAGTCTAGGGTCGTGCTCACCCCTGGTCATCAGTATGAGGATCCACAACCACATCTCATTCACATTCCACACATCTCATTTCATAACTCAAATTCATATCACATACACAATTCCATATCACATACACAACAGATAAGTCCAACAAAATAAGGGTTTACACACCCCTCAAGCAATTCACATCTAGATCATCAATTCTTAACAAGTAATATAAGAATAACATTCATAAATTAATATAATAATCAATGGAATTACCAATTTAATACAATCTTAACATAAATGGCAAAATCCCCAATTATCCTAAAACTTAACCCACAGGCACTTTTCTACAATTTCATTCTCTCTCCCAGATCATCATTCTTACAAATTAAATATATATTTCTAATCCTCAATACATATACAGTCTAATGGGATCATCAATTTCTTAAACAGAAATAATTATAAAATTATCCCTAATCCTACGGGATCCCTCCTCTACCCAATTTCCTCATGTAACTTTACACATAAATAATTCCCTTTTCCCCCGTACCTTGATATGTAGAAGCTGAACCTACACAAGATCTGGTTGGTCTCCCTAGCTGGGTTCTCCTCGGTCTGAAGCAGAAAGTAAAGGGAAAGAAGAGAGAGCAGAAGAAAAGAAATCAGAAAATGAGAGGTGTGCCTTTTTGGGAGTGGTAGAGAGCTCAATTTATAGGCATCAAGCTTCGCCGGAACGGCCCGTTCCAAATCCGGAACGGCCCGTTCTGGACTCTGACGGCATGTGTAAAATTCACATCCAAAACGGTCTGTTCTCAAACCAGAACGGCCTGTTCTGGGTTTGCACTTAACCCACAACGGCCATATCTGGAACCGCCCGTTCTTAATTAGGGTTATAGGCATTTTTGGTGATTTGGAACGCCCCGTTCCAATTTGAGAACGCCCCATTCCCATCTAAAAATTGTAGACAATTTTTGTATTTTGGAATGGCCCGTTCCAATTTGGAAACGGTCCGTTCTGAACTACAAAATCACTCTCGTCTTAGTAGTTTAGAACGACCCGTTCCAATATGGGAACGGCCCGTTCTGGGCTACTAAATTACCTTCTTTTTAGTAGTTTGGAACGGCCCGTTTCAATTTGGGAACGTCCCGTTCTGAGCTACTAAATTACCCCTATTGGGCTTTTGGGCCCTCAAACAATCTGTGAAAATTGGACTATTAGAATTCTCCCCTCCTTTAAGAAATTTCGTCCTCGAAATTCACTTTAAAACAGAAATAGGTAGGCTCCTCGCATCTTGTTTTCAAATTCTCATACAACCTCACTACCTTACTCATGTACAACTCTAACAATCTCACTAAGGAACATCTATTATCAACGAGGGTAAGGCAAGTAAATTTGGTAAGTCTAACCACTATAACCCAAAAAGAATCAAATTTTGTAATCATCTTAGGCAAGCCTACAACCAAGGTTTATCTACACACCATCTCACTTCCAAAATGGAACGTGTAAAGGCTACAAAGTCCCAAAGACTTCTAGCATACTAAACACGAGTATACAAATTCCTCTACTCCTCTTTTCACCTTAGGCCATTACGCTTCCGCTGCGCCACTCTGATACATCCTCCTAAGGTCCCGATACATCTCAGTAGCTCCTAAATGAATGTTAAGAGAGTACTCTTATGTCCTTCCTCTAAAATCATCTTTCTTAATTCAAGGTTACTAAGCACCCAAGTTTGTTCTTGCACCTGAAAACAACGTCGATTTCTAACAAATAAGACTCGTGATAAGTTCTCAATAGGTGTTGGTTTTTATCTTTCTTTCGAGCATCTTCGTAAATGTGGCCTTCGACTCATATGGTTCTCGAGTAGACCTAACAACCATTTACTGTTCACGTTCAGAACGGGCCGTTCTGAAACTAGAACAGGCCGTTCCAGATTAAAAAATAATACATGACGAATGGATCAGAATGGGTCGTTTTGAATTCAAAATTAGCACATAAAAAGTGAAACTAGAACGAGCCGTTCTGAATCCGGAATGGGCCGTTATGGCCTATAAATAAATTTTTTTTGGTTCGATTTTCACTTATCATATACCAAAACTCAGAAACTAACATCAAATAATTAAATTTATTGAATATTACCATTATAAATATAACTAAATAAATTTATTAAAATTCAATACAACAATAAAGATCAATGGTGGCGGAAACTGAATTCATGAAAATTCAATACAACAATAAAAGCCCTCTCAATGTGAGAAGTAAAAACCTACGGGCACAAGTCTGTCAATCAAGCTCCACTATGATCAAATAAGGTTACAAGAGAGTCTAATCAAATGTATAAACAAATGCTTACAACCAGCTAATATATTAAAGCAACAAGGCCTTCCAATCGAAGAATAAAGAAGAAGAAACCTCAAATTAGAGCAACCGTACGAAATTAATTTCTCCAACCACAGACCTCCAATCCACGATCCCAATGGTCAAAACGAAGATCGCCGCGTTAAGAACCTTCTGTCAAATTTTCAGCCCGATCCAACAGTAAATAAAGTGGGGATCGCAATTTTACTAAAACTGCTCTGTATATGCGGACAAAATTTTCTTCTTTTTCTCTCTTCTAGAGCGGTTAGTTTCGTGCATGTACGCCATTAGAGGATAACTGCTATCCACTATGCTTATTACGTGGCTTTAAATCGTAACTTCTCATAACCGTTCATCCCACGTTTGAACTTTCTCGATTCGACCCTTAATAACCACCTTAGTGCGCCTTAACTGTCAAGAACCTCCAGTAACTTCTTTTTCCGCTTTTTCGAGCTCTAATTGACCAATTTCTTATTCGACTATATCCCGAGCACAAACAAATAAGACTCGTGATAAGTTCTCAATAGGTGTTGGTTTTTATCTTTCTTTCGAGCATCTTCGTAAATGTGGCCTTCGACTCATATGGTTCTCGAGTAGACCTAACAACCATTTACTGTTCACGTTCAGA